GGGGGGGGGTCACCGCCAGAGGTGTCTCTTTGAAACACAGAGGCTGACATCACACCTTCTCCACCTGTGAATCACCCACTTCATACTCCTCTCCTCCTTCAAAGCCAAAGAGAACCCACAAGAACCCAGGAAGTTCCCCGCACATTACGTCTCAGAAAACATGATGCGGGGGGTGTGAATGTTCATGGATGTGTGGAAGCTTAAAACAGAGATTCAGTTCATTTGTGGCTGATCCAGCAGCCGGTTCGGTCACGCCAAGGTCCTTCTGTTACATGTCTGCCTATAGACGAGTAGCTTGTTTCGGGAAAGACGCTGCTTGTTTGTAGGCAGTGGTGAGGACGTATATCACAGGCCAAATACGGAGGACAGGACATTCATGAATCAAGAGATAAGAATTTATCTTTTTCAGTCCTCCTCTTAACAACCAATTTAAAATTAATCATCCTAAGGACATGGAGAAACTGAACATTAATTTGCAGTAATGAACGCACTTTAACAAATCAGACTTTATGTGAAGACAGTGCTCAATATTTTGTGTGAACATTTATTTGACATCACACAAAGGGCACAAAGTGTTTTTGGTTATTTAAGCAGAGAAGTTCTTTCTATTACAATTGATTTGCAAATAACATGTGTACATCATCTTAATCAATCAAACAAAGGACTTAAAAATCATTAACTCAAAGAGCCATTAATCATCAAGGTGAAGGTGCCCCACCCCCAAAAAAAGACACGAAAGGGAGGAGATCTAAAAATCCAGGGACACAATGGCAGGTAATTCTCACGTTGGGATTAATTGGTGTTGCTTCAGTTGCAGCAATTTTTCTGTGTGAATCAGGTGATTGGGTTCAAAGGTCACACTTTGTCCCAGCCCAGAAGGTGGACAAGGCTTGCCTAGACATGTTTGGTGCTGACCTTTGACCTCGTATTTACTGTACACTCACACACCTTCATGCTGAAGGAACAGCCGCAGGTAGAGAATAAACGGTGCACAGCTTTTAGTGCAGCTACATTTATACAGATTAAAAAGTGGTGCGTACTCAGTGGGACCGAGAAAGGAGAAGCAGAACCGTGTCAGAACTCTGCTCTCCCAGCAGGTGATGGACTCAGGGCCACTTCCACTCTCGTGCACCTCATGTCTGCAGAATAAGCGAGCAGATCTTTAGTCTGTGGCTCTGCTCTCCTGCAAGCTCATAATTCATAAATCTTCATTTACTGTGTGATATCAGTACATGGAAATTCATATTCGCTCCATCCAGTCGGTAACATGTAACAGGACCAGACAGCACAAAATGAAACCCAGGCCCTCAAATAACGTCAAATAGATATATGACGAGTATTGTAGAGGTCCATATTTATGGAAAAATATCAAATAAACAGAACAAACTGAAACGGCTGAAACAGAAGATATGTCTTAATAAATTATACATGTATCAAATGACAAGACAAAAAGAAGGAACGATTAAAATATGGAGCAAAGTGTAACTATGTCCACTAAAACGTGCTGGGTATTAATGAGTATTATGATCACTGTTATGTATTATTATCGCTGTTTTTTATGGCGCATTATCGCTGTGTTTTTAGGTGCCGAATTGCAGTGGGGTAGGAGCTGTGCCCGACCCGTCCCGATATTCCGTCGGTTCAGAGACCGCTGTGCCGGCCCGGGGTATAGGCTACGGCGGGCGGCGCATTGTGCCCGCCTCACCGCCGCTCTAACCCTCAGGCTGGATCCCATGGTCACGTCACTCTTTCACATGCTGTTAAACGCTTGACAATTGCTGTGCATTAACGTAATTACACCGTGACAAAGGCGTAACGAAATAATGGTCAGGGAGCACAGGTCCGTCCTGTATAATGCTCGTAAACGTGCATTAGCGCCACACATCAGCGTTCAGCGCCATAATGTAGACCAGCTTAAAAAGCGAAACTATATCAGCCTCATACTATAATTACAGTCGCGATGATCCAGTGCGTGACTGTAATCTGAGCAATAATTTACATCTATTAAGATAGAGGAAAATGTGAATGATTTTTTACATCCATCGACATTGGCATTTTCAATTACCATTTATATGAACGTCTATAGCTAGTAATCCAGAAATAATTTGCTTTATATTTTAATATATATTAATTATATTTATTTGACTGCTGCTAATACTGTTACATTTAACGCCGCTAAATATAATGTATGACTGCACTAATTAATTACATTTTTATTTTACATATGCGGCATTGGGAATTGGTGGGGAAAGCAGTTTTGTTGTACCCGTACAGCGACAGTAAAGATATTAAGTAACACTTTAATTGAGGGGGCATAAATAATAGGCCTATACTCATTTAATCCTGAACTCTAACTTCATGTATGAATAAACGACAAACTATTCGGTCATGATTTGTGAGTAGTAGTTACCACTAACTAAGGAACCGTATTATAGTGTTATCATTTGTGTCCCTCAAGTAAAGTGTTAAAAGATATTCTATTCTGTTGCGAAATAAATCGTTACGTCGTCGTCCACGTTTGATTTCAATCATTTATCTGTTCCGCATCATTGATAAAGAGAATGATCCCATATTTCTTTGGATTCATAAATTCAGGGTAACACGGGCACCTGATACTTTAAAAGATTTTATTATAAAATGTGTACACATTATGAAAATAAACAGCAATATCCAGTATTTAATCGTAGTTGAAAACATGATTTTTCATGATAGATATTTATCTATTCCATTAAGTTACATATTAAGTAAATGTTCCTCAGAGTCAATTTCCGTACCTTAAAGGGTACATTTACCGACAGCTAGGGTATATTTGGCAGACCCTTGAAGGTACAGCCCCAGTGACAAAGTTACAAATCTGTGATTTATTCTGACACTTTATGATATAATGTCTCAAAGTGAGTTCACTTAGCCAATGATACGCGTCTCCTAAATCTCACCCTAGAACTATCCAATATACCCACGGGAATACCGTGGCCTGATCTCCAGGAAACCATATTTGGCTAATCAATATCTCATCATATTATTTAACCAATTAAGGTAAATAATTAAGTGAGCTTAATTATGTGAAATATAAGAAATCCATGGAATGGCTGAGGTGCCCCCGAGGAGAGGAACTGAAGCGGTGTTCATCTAGCCACCCAACAGGATATCTGACTTTTTATAGAACAGAAGAAACTCGTGTGCTTTGATTTTGTTGTATTTGCATCTATTCTAATGTTAAGTTGTATTTTTATGAATAAATATACTGCTACCACACATAAATTGTTTTAAACATTTTCTTCGCCTGCCTAAGATTTTATTATTTAAATAACTAACGCTGTTTATAGTACCGTTTCACAACTATAGTTTATAAACATAAGCAAATAGCTGATCTACATGATATAATGATTTTGTCTGACACAGGACTACAGTCTTCCTTAAGTTAGCGTCGTCCTCGCGCGCCTCAGTAACGCGTCGAAAACGCTCTTAGTTATATATTTATTGGGAAGGGGGCACGCGAGTATTCTATAACAAGCTTATATGATATAGACCTATTAATACAGTGCGTATCTGGCCATTTTCTCAATGTCATACAAATATTTAGCGTAAAGTGGCGTAATTGCAGAACGAGGGCTTGGAAACATTTTTTTACACGATTATTAGGGCACGTGCAAATTCATACAAGTGTTCAATTTATGGTGGCAGGTTGGGATATATAAACCACAAAGATGCCTACTTCCCATCTTTCAGTCGACATTTTATACAATTAAATATTTTAAGTACTCCTTTAAATGAGTCATCAGATACACACGCAGTGTGCTTCAGTGTAAGACGAGAGGATCGCTCTTTGCACCGTAGATAACAGCCGGTCGACGGTCGGATTATCGGAGATGCGGACGGTCGTGGCGAGTCGCGGGTCTTGGCAGTAGCGCAGTGTCTTTGGTGAATACGCCCAGAGGAGTCGCGGGTCCTGGCTGCAGCAGCGTCTTGGCAGATCCCACCCCTGCGAGTCGACTTTGGCGGATCACACCAGCTCCGGACGGCGATCATGGCCCGGGCTAATGACGGTGCTTACTTTAAGAGGTCCAGCCTGTTCTGGATGCTCACCATCACCCTGTCTCTGGGGTTCTACACGGTAAGTGCCCCGGCGTCACCATGAATGCCCCCCGGCCGACAGTGACAGCCAGCGGCGCCATTGCTCACCTATGCACGGAGGCATTTAAAATATAGCTGCTATAATAAAATAAAATAGGCAAACCGTTAAGCCGTGTTCGTAAACACGCTATGCAAAATATTGGCAATAACCAGGAAGAAATGTTGCGAGCTAGCACACAATGCATTATGGGAAATTGAGTCCGAGTTGCATGAGCGCGTGTACGATGACAGCATGCGCTACTGACGAGTTATAATAAAGTCCTTAAAAAACTGCGGTAGACGAATACCCCCAAATTAGTATTTTTCGTTCCAAAGGTCCAAGAGATGTAACACAGTTGTACTATAAAATGCATGGTGTGCACTTCCAGAAATCAGTAATCCGCTTACTACTGCGGCAGGCGTGCATGTAGGCCTATTGCATAGAATATAACAAAAACAGTTTGAAAGTGTCCTAGAAAAGTGACAGGGACGGTCATATTGTCTTTATACCTTATTAAGATTAACTTTATTGATCCCAGGGGGGAAAACTGCACAGGTGCCAAACATGCATAGTGCCAAACAGACAAGTTACAAAGTCTAGTACGCACAAAGCATTTTTAAAAGTACACACTACGCAAATAAACGAAAGATTTCGAAAACCAGAATTTGATAGGGCGTGTATGCTTAGCGAGCAGGGTTTCGGTAACTTGAGTTCATGTCGCCTTGGGGATATCAGTGTCACCTGATCAAGAAGGAAAATTTTAGATCCACTGTGTGTAAAAAGCAGGCAGTGTTTAATGTGTGCTGATTAATGGCATTGATTAATCGTGGCCTTGAGTGACTGAACTACGGACTGGGCTGATAAACTCCATCAAACAAGGATCGAGGTGCAGCACATAGATCAGTAATACATAACAAGGCGATAACAGCCTTGTTTTTGTATGTCCAGGGACCGTCTCTAAAGTGTTGTATTTATCGGCAAGGATTGTCCCCTGTTCAGAATTGGGTGGCTCTACCTATTTTTTCTAATCTTTTCTCCATTAAAGAAGGCTGTCCCGTGAATGACAGAGGGGCTAATCTTCACCTGTTCACACCTGGCTGATTTTAAATCTGCTTTTCCCTGTGGAACAAACTTTATACATAATCCCCTTTACTTCCATGTTCTCTGCTTCGGTTCAGCGTACCCACCAGTTCTGTGTTAATTGATCAGTGTGAATGTGAAAACGCCTTGAGCTGTATAGGTAGGTCCTGAGCCTCTTAACAGCTGCATGAGCTTATCAGCACTGTGCTGTGGAGATGTCCATTTGATTGCTCTGTCAGCCAATTAATCAGCCGACTGCACTGTAATCAGGTTCGGTGATTTAATGTGATAAACACCGTGTCTTAAGTCCCCTCCAGTTCCCACCTCCCACCATGGCTCTGCTGTGGAAGAAATTTCGAAGAAGTCGATTTAAGAGTCTGACAAAACTTTATTACCGCAAAGTTTTGGGGGAATGGACACTCATCAGTATTTAATTTGTCTCGTGATCTGTCCCGAAAACGCGACAGTTTATAGACAGTTCGCGGGGGGGAGGTCAGATATCTGTAGACACCAGTTACTTCTACTTATAGAGGTCTGTTATCAATTCAAGGCCGGGTCAATCTATTTTCCGATTGTCCTTATGGTTTCACTACCCTATTTAAACAAGTTTTTAGTTACTTTCTCCATCTTAATACGTCCCCATATATTCCCCTGTGCTATCGTCCACTTATCCTTGATCTATGACATCAGAACAGAAATTTCTAATATTGGTTTCTGCAGCCGCTTAACTTCTCGGATCAGGTCTCCACCTTTATCCGGTCCTCCTGCAGAATAAACCGTCACATATTAGTTCCTCATAAAATGTTTCTTATTGAGAAATGAAGACTTATTACTGAAACAAGTTTGCATTATTGCATTACATGTTTAGTATAACTATTCCAAAGCAGAAATTAATCATTTGTAATCATTGTAGTTAAATCAAAAGTGTTATTATGAATTTCATTGGTAATTACTGATTGATATTACATTGTATTTGCATAATCATGGATTTGTCTACCAGACTGCATGTTGGCAGCCTGTTGATACAGCTCTCTGCCGTTTTTTCCTGCGCACTGTAAATTCCCAGATCGATCCACTTAACACCATCTCAGGTGTGAGTTCAATCTGGCCAGCAGGTTCCTGCAGTGATCTGAAATCAGTCTGTCATCGTTTCCTTCAAAGCTGTTTCTCCACAATGTTCCACGCAGTTGCAGACATTTGTCATCCCGACGTTTGCCGGCATATCCCCAGGAACCAAAGCTGTGCTGTCTCTGTTTCAGTGGACCGTTTTCTGGCCGGACCAGGTGCCCTACGCAAGCATGGGTCCCTTAGGCTCGTTCTTCCAGTACCTGGTGAAGCAGCACTTCACAGTCATGTACTATGGGTGCGTCTCCACCACATCACTACAGCTTCTGTTCATTATCCATCCACAGAACCTGACTAGCAGTTATATGTTAGTCTTTTTCTGCATTACTATTATGCAATCTGATGACACTCATTCTGCGACTCCAAGACAGCATCAGAGCCACATCACAGTTGATCCCATTCTTACAGATGCCCCCAAATTTATAGCCATCCTAGGATTAGTCTCCTGAACTGGAGCAGTCCCCATGTTCCCAGTAATCCCAGGATAAGATATGTCTTTGTGTCTGCTTGTCCAGACTGAGTGTCATTCTGAAAATGTTTCTTTTTTTTCTTTTTGAAGGGACACTGTTGCCCTTTCACGTTTGTGTCTGCTTAGCCGGAAGCACCTTTAATTAAAGGGATTGTCATGCTGGTGCTGTGTGTGATGCCTTTTCTCTGGTCACATAGCTGGTGGCTGGTCTGGATGATCCACATCAGTGAAGCTTTCTACAGCCAGAAGCTGTGCAGGTAATTTGGGTTGGGTACTCTGAGGTTGTACACATGAGGCACTGCGCGCATGGTAACTATTCCGGCATGAGGCACTGCGCGCATGGTAACTATTCCGGCATGAGGCACTGCGCGCATGGTAACTATTCAGGCATGAGGCAATGCGCTCATGGTAACTATTACGACATGAGGCACTGTGCTCATGGTAACTATTACGACATGAGGCACTGTGCTCATGGTAACTATTCAGGCATGAGGCACTGCGTTCATGGTAGCTATTCAGGCATGAGGCACTGCGCGCTTGGTAACTATTCAGGCATGAGGCACTGTGCTCATGGTAGCTATTCAGGCATGAGGCACTGTGCTCATGGTAGCTATTCAGGCATGAGGCACTGCACGCATGGTAATTATTCATGCATGAGGCACTGCGCTCATGGTAGCTATTCAGGCATGAGGCACTGTGCTCATGGTAACTATCCACGCATGAGGCACTGCGCTTATGGTAACTGTCCATGCATGAGGCACTGCGCTCATGGTAGCTATTCAGGCTGATAAGCAGTGCCTTTTCTCTGCACGTTTTGTCACTTCTGTGTGCGATGCCATTTGCCTCAGAGTCACTGCAGTGTCACGCTGCCTCTTTGTGCTGTGTCAGTGATGTGTGCATGTGCACCCCGCCCACAGGGACAAGGGCGTGGACAGCCAGCTAGCACGCAGCATGTGGTTCGTGCAGACTTTCCTCTTCGGAATCGCCTCCCTGGGGCTTCTCATGAAGTACCGACCAGATGCCAGGCTCAAACGTCATTAAGGTCACCAGGCTGGGCATAGATAAGGAGGAACACCACTGACTTGGAGGACCACAACACCACTGACTTGGAGGACCACAACACCACTGACCTGGAGGACCACAACACCACTGACTTGGGGAATCAAGCTGAATACCCTTGACCAAGAGTATAGTACCAACCAGCAGGACTCCAGCTCAGAGGACAGATGTGACTCTCAGGCTTTCCCACAATTCCTTGCAAACCCATTGCACAAACCATGATGTCATCAAACAGTTCCCCAATATGTGGCTGGTAACAGGCAGACTTTTTGTAGTATCTTTTCATAGCCTTATTTTAAAGAGCACAATTTATGCTGTTAAATCATCATTAGATTTAAGATATTTTTGGTCATATTTAGAGACATATTTAACATTGAATTGTTTGTTTTGGTTAATTTAGCTTGCTAGAGGTTTGCCTGATGAGGGCACTATAATTCTTGTCTAATATGTTATAATCTTCTGTAAGATTCTTATCTCTGATTTGAGTTTTCCAGCCTTCCAGTTGCTTATCCAGTGTTGGGTCTTAGTGTGGGGGAGTGCTTCAGCGTGTAGGGGCACGCCTGATTGGATGCCCGACTCTCACAGGGCAAACACAAACACACACCATGGGCAGATTAGATGTGCTGGTTACCCTGACTGCATTTGGGCTGTGTGAGGAAGCCTAGGCAGCAGGGGGACCATTAAAAAAACGGAGACAGGGTTGGATTTATGAGGCCACAGCCCCACCCACTCAGCCACCATGACACCATAACACTGGATCCGCTTCCACCTGCCGTGTGCAGTGCATCCGAGGTTTTCGGATGCCCACAGCAGCATTTCGATGTACGGCAGAGTTGGGCTCTGCCACAGGTGGAGGGCATTCATGCCGGAACCGAAAGTTTGCTACCAAACAGAGCGGCACCAGTGCTCCCGTGTTTGGCCCTGGCCTGATGCTGGCTTTGTGCAGTGTGGATCATGCCTTTTATAATCGGAATAAAACCCTGAAAGAAAAGAGCCTCCCAGAATTTCCTTTTGCATTTCTTTTGCTTTTCTGGTCATTAAATCGCCTTATTAGGTTCTTGCTTCGTTTCGTAGTTCTTGTGTGGCTCTGGCTTACACTGCATCTGGCCGTTCACTGGCAGCTCAGCCTGACTGCGCTTACACCCAGCCGTGTGTCTGTAATGCGCTTCTCCGCCTCACTCTTATTCCACTTTACACAAGACTATCCAGTAAATACATAAAATGTAAAAAAAAATGGACAAGTGGAGTTTGTGATGTGAATGTTCAGGCTGGACATGTGTCCCTAGGGGGATGAAGGCAGTGGCCCCCACTAAGCCAGATGATGCCAGCGAGAGTGTGTGTGACGCAGTCTCAGGGCGCAGTGCCAGCAACCCCCCCACCCCCCCACTGAACCCCCATTATTGCTCAGAAATCTCTCCTTCTGCATAAAAGCTTGAACCCATCAACAAAAGAATAAGCAAGACTGCAGAATGGCAGCAAATGGCAGGATGTGCAGATTGAGCTGCCCT